ATTTGGACGATCTTTTCTACGTCTTATTCCAAGTGACTGTGGAACTTTATGTTGACCTCACATCATATTTTGAAGACCAGTGGTTATTATCATTGCAATTTTGGTATGGAGGTAGTGCAAATCTTAGTCGATCTATCAATTTTTCTTGTTTAAATCCATTATTTTGTTCTTGTAAATATGACCTTAAAGAATATTCTTGCGTTCATTCATTGAGCTTAATAATGATGTGAGGTCATAAAGTTCCACAACCACTTGGAATAAGACGGGGAAAAGATCGTCCAAAGAAAGTTAAATTAGCTTTAACAAAGAACTAAATATTAACCGAAAACTATTGTAATCTAGCACTTATTTTGTTCTTGAATTATATTTTTTTATTAAATATACTGTACTACTAACAAAATTATTTACCAATCTCATTTCTTTCTTTTTACCGTCATTAATCGAGCTCATTTGTATCTTTTCAGAGTATAATTTAATTTTCAAGCTCAAAAGTCTCATTTATAGAAATAAAATATAATTTTATTACAACCGAGTTCATTTCTCTCATTTTAAAGTCAATTAAACACACCGAACTCATTTAATTTCGCATCTTTTCAAAAAACTTAGAATTTTATCTTTATTTATTCATTCTACTGTCCTTTGCCTTCTTGAGTGGTAAATTATGCCCCAAAAACTGGTCATAATAATGACTCTTCTCTGTGATAATTGTATAGGCTATCATCGATTTTTGTAACATAGAGATTTTTCAAGAAAAACACAAAATACACAATATAAGACATATATATCTTTTATTTTGTCTTAAAAAAAACATGAATCACAGTCTTGATCACAATTATAATAAATAAATGTATTGAATAAGAATGATTCTAAAGAATAAATAAATAAAAATATATTGATATAGTCAGAAAAAGAAATAAATAAAGTCAATAAATATTGCATACATAAACTAACGAATAGAATCTATTTGATATAGAATGAAAAACAAATTATGTTTGTGGAAATGATTGTTTAATATCTTTTAATAACATTGTTGCAAGAACAATTCGATCAGAATTAATTGTCATGGTCAAAGTTGAATTTGTCAAGTTAACTTGAAGAGAAATTAAAATTAACGATTTACTAGAAATTGTTTGACCACTAAATCTAAATAAAAAATACAAACATTCTTGAAATAGTTGCATTCAGTTACTAATTTGTGTCTTAGAATGACAGAGTACAATATTATATTGCATATACATGCGATTGTTTTCGTTCCTATGATCCTTTAGCACAAATACTGTGATTAAAAAAAGAAAGTGTAAACAAGTTTACTATTAGAAATATTTATCAAAAATGAAATATTGAAAATAAACTTCATTTTAATATAAGTTTTATTCTATTAGAATACTAGTGGAAAAATATTCCATTATAGTATTCTAAACTAAAACTATCGAAAAACATAAAATTAATTTTGTACAAATAGAGAACATATGAATTTACTTAGGGTATACCAAAAGTAACGAGATTTGCAGATAAAACTCCACAGACTAGAGGTAATCAAGTTTTCACTTCAGCAAGTATTTGAGCTAGTAGACATGATTACCCACGCACAATAAATTTGTTTCAAAACGTTTGCTGAAAGTTTTTTTCGAATCATCTTTGATTGAAAAATTTATCAGATGTTACAGTATTCAATGCAGTGATTAAAGATAAGATCATTTGATTTATTAAGCTTATGAATTAGATAGAACACCTGAAAACCACGTAGTATTGGACCCGTAGAATATGGTGAATATAAAATATTTAGATACGTTTTGATGCGAGATACTAAAAAACAGCTTTGTGAATATACGGTTGAACATTGTCATAATGACTTTTGATGTTTGAAACACTATCTGATGATCTCTGCTGTTTCACTTCCCTAATAAGTAGTTTTAGAGAATTTTTGATATAATATTGGTGATTAGAAATGTGCTCTCTTTCCGTATCTGTCGATTTTTTAAGAGTGTTTGGCTAGTTAGTTTGAGAGAAGACATGAAACATTGTTGTGAGGCTAACTTGTTGCGTAAAACTGTAGTCGGTAGAGATTCCTCTCCTGCAATCCTTCTAATTCAACGAACTGAAGTTCGTTTATGTGTGTCAAATCAAGAACTTGTGATCAACTATCACTTTATGTATTCGCTATACTTCTTTAGTCGGCTATGTCCAAGAAAATTAACCGATCAAAATAGTTCTTAGTCGTTGTATGCAGTGCTGTAACCAAAATACTCAATTTTTTAATCAAAGATGATTCGAAAAAAAACTTTCAGCAAATGTTTTGAAACAAATTTATTATGCGTGGGTAATCATGTCTACTAGCTCAAATACTTGCTGAAGTGAAAATTTGATTACCTCTAGTCTGTGGAGTTTTATCTGCAAATCTCGCTACTTTTGATATGCCCTAAGTAGCACTGCAGTAAACTGCACTTTCTCGTATCTCTAAGCGAATAGTACACTGAGAATAATATGATTCTTTATAATACTTAAATTGTAATAAAAATTGTTACCTAAAAGTAGCATTGTCATTTGACGTAGGTACGGATAAAACATTTGTACATTGAATAATTTTATTTTGTATTGTTGAAAAATTTAACTTTTTCAATGTGTCAATATCTAATTTTAGTGTTTCACTTATCTCATTCATTCCTTTTAAACTATCTAAACAGAATAATCAGAGAAAAACTAGAAAAATATGAAAAAAAAACAAATGTAATCATATGATAACTTACTTAGTTGTTGTTGAAAGTCTTGTTCATTTAGAAATTTTTGTTCAATCATTTCTCCAACTTGACATGGAATAGATAATGAAATTTGTTTTCCATCTGACGTAATATCAAATTGAGCTGGTTGAGTTTTATCATTGAAATCAATACCCATTGTTGAGACGAGCGAGGCGCCCGATGGCAATACATCGATTTCAGTAAATTCACTTATTTGAACACCGGGGCGCTAAATAAAATAACTTCAAAATGGCGTCATATAAAAATAACTTGAATGTTCATAAGAATAAATAAGACCCAATATTGTTTTACATTTAATTTATTTCTGCCCGCTTTAATCGATATTTTTCATTTTGAGATACATTTTCAATGCTAGTTTATATCGAAAAAATAAACAATAGACTCGTACCAGTTCTGACTAAACATTTAATGAACTCGATATACTCATTTTTACTTAATTAAGCTGTGATAAACTAACGAAAAGGAAATGAGTAGAGAGAGTATTCAGGCACATAAAACAAGACAGAAAACTCATCCATACAGTTGATGATGGAACAACAAAGGTCTCAACTTTTGAAAATAAGCTCAAACTACCAGAAATTGTCGCAGATCAGATCATAAAGTGGATCGTACTAGACCAAAATATAAAAAAATTTTCAGTCAGACGAGTTCAGTCTATCCCAATCTTTGTAAAGTACTTACTGCTTTGAAGAACGAAATATGTTGTATGTCTCTCTGTGTCGTATTTGTAAATATTAATTCAATATTAATCATATTTGGTCTACGAGTAAATTTTGTACGAGGATAACGATATTGAATTTGTAATCCAGATCCATTTATTCGATTTAATAGTTCAAATTGTCGTGTATATGCTAATACAGATGGAGCAGACTTTGAATAACATAAACAAATGAAAAGAAAGAAGAAAGAAAATAGTTCTTTCATACCGATAGTGATTCTAATATGTTTAAATCATCCAGTTTTGATTGAGTCGTTGTGTTTGCTACTGAAGATGTAGTAGTCGTAGGTCCTGAACCCAGAAAGGTTTCCACTGGAAAAAAAAGAACTGAGTTGTGCTTTGTTGGCAAATAGCTACTATTTATTACTTACAGTCAAAAGCGAGTAACGATGTTTCATTTGATAGAGATCGTTCATCGACCAGTACATTATCTTTTTTAGATTGCGCTGATATTGCATCTTTTTCTGTTGTGTTTCTGACCGATGAAAGCTTGGAACTTATTCCTGATAACTCTTTCGTTTCTTCCTTTTCTTCCTCGTCATCCTCCGATGTTTCATCCTCTTCTTTACTTTCCTCATCATCTGATTCCTCGCTGCTACTTTCCGAACTACTTTTAGCTATTGTCCGTTTCGTATTTGTCGCTGATTGTACTTGTTGTAGCTGAGATTCTAATTGTTCGTACTCGTTAACGTCACCAACTTCTACCAAACTTGGTCGACTATTTTCAAACTGATCCTCATCGTTATTTTCTTCCGTCTCCTCTTGCTTCTCGTCATCTTCTTCTACTTCAGATTCAGATAATGATTCCTCCGATGTATCTGTTGACGATTCTTCTTCACTGGGATCTGGTCCATCTACAAAAGAATAAATACACACATATACATCGAAACAATGTATTGGTAAGCAAAAGTATTTTTGTTTTTGCTAGGAATTCATACCAGTTGATTCACCTTCAGAATAAAATCCCTCTACTGTTGAGGACATTTTTCCTTTAGTTGCTGACGTAGCTTTTGACGATCGTCCACCTTTTTTCATTTGTCCAAATACGGGTATCGTTTTTTCTGGCAAAATAACTTCAACATTTCTCACTGTTGGATCTGGTAGTTCAAGAGGGAAATCGGGTAAATCTTTATAACCATTTGCTTTTTGACCAATAATGTGCGATAGTGTGCCCAAAGTATATTGTTCATTATCTGTAACAAAAAGAATGAATGATCGTGCGGTCTGATGAAAATTTAACTACTGATAAGAAAATGGAAATTACAATTGAATCAGCTACAGAAAATTGTCTCATCAATTTTCTCGTGCATTTTAGTTTCTCGTCTATTTTAATATTTAAATAAATAAAATTGGAACCGATAAGATCCTTTAAAGACATGTATCATCTTACATCAATTATACGATTTGTTTGCAGGTCTGTTGAACATAGTTCTTTTATGAGAAAGCGAAACATTTTTATGCAGACAAACAGTGTATAGATAGTAACAATTCATATAATTTAAGTAGTAATTTCCCTGTCATACGACTATTGAAAATCTATAATTACTAAGGATACTTCAACACATATATTCCTATCTGCTTCATTAACAAGAAATGTCTTGTAATTGTTTACCTCTCATCGATGATTCTAAAGTTGGTGCTGGTTTTGAGGCTAACAAGATTTTCTTTGCATATTTACTGAGATGTGGACATTTTTCTGTTTGTATTAGTAAAGCTCTAAAAGATGAGAAAAATGGGTTATATAACTGTTTTACACATCAAAATCGCTACTTACCGTAGTAGTCTTGCTTTATCTCTAGTATCATAGTTTTTATCATATTTAGCTAAATTAAACACATATTGAACAAGCAGTTGGGTCTGTTTTGGATTAACGACATATAATTTTGCAGCTAAATTCAATATTTGTTGTTTGACTATAGTTTCCTTGAAAATAGAACATGATTAAATCGTGATGAAGCGGTATATATTAGACTTAAATTGAATGTATACCTCATTTGTAAAGTTTTTGACCATTTTTCTTAAAACATCAGGAGCTAATTTACTTATTCTGTCGGAATATTCACCAATTAACCATAATATGGAAGCACGAGCTGTTGGCACAACAACTTTGTCTACCATTCGAACGATATGTTTGATAATTTCACTATACTGCGAAGGCTAAAACAGAACCAAGCAAATAAAACATATTAAATTTATATTAAACTCACATTGATTTGCAATAATTTTTTTATTACAACGACACTTTCAGCAACTATTGCTTCTATAATAAGAGAATTGGAGTAACATTTTGTCAATCAGAGCAACTAATCTATATTTTTACCATCCTTTTTTGACATAAGTGCCACTAATCCATTTAAACATGCCTCAGTAACTTCTTTAATTGTACTAGCACAACGTCCAATGGCATGTATTGTTTGTGCACCAAAATCTTTATCCGTACTCAAGACATACGTCTAAAATAGACAAAAATTTAAATAAATAAAATAAATAACATCTATTCCAATATTTTTACCTGAAATTCTCTTAGTATTGTTGATATATTTGATGCATTAGCTAATATCGTTAAAATTTCTAATTTATAACGTTTTACTTGCCCATTATCAGTTGAATGAATATAAAAACTCTTTAAATGAGGTTCAAAAATTTCTTTGTGTTTATCAGCCATTGACATAACAGATTTTAAGACAATTGTCTGAATTTCACTGGAACAAAAAAAGCTCAAATACAGATAAGACAATGTAGCTATGGAGCCACTCCCACCGATGATGTCTCAATAAACGAATTAATGCTTTAACCACAATTTGAATTTCAGTTTTAGGTGCAACATGATAATACAATTGAGCAACGGCCATCACAACCTAAACCATGGAGGTAAATTTAATCGTGTTAAATAAAATGACTTATAACATACTGCTGAATTTCTACTTTGTAACAATGGTTTTGTACATCTTAATAATAATCGATGATCACTATCCATTACGTAAGTTTTTCTCTCATATTCATCCTCATCGTTACCAATAGTACTGTGTTGTTTTGTTTGTTCACTGTTTTCACCATAAAATTCTTTATGTTCATCTATATAGGTCTAAAATAAAAGCAAGATGTAAGTAATTTGTATTAACGAAAAAAAATGACAATGATTATTGTTGACTTAAGGGCCCCACCCCTCAGAAATTATCTCCGGCACCGTACATCCGATCTTGACAAAACTTTCCGTAAATGTTCGGCATAATGAGTTACGGGAATGAAAAGATTTTTTTGTCTCCAAGTCTTACGGTTTAGGAGTTTTTCAGAGATCAAGGTTCAAAAAGGACCCTGAACGGCGTCCCAAAATTTTTTAATATACTTCAAGCTGGAGAGTTCGGATTTGTTTTGTTTTAAACTAGACACCTAACTACATCGACTGACAGGTGTCGATTTTTCAGTTAAGCCTTTATTGATTTTCCAGGCAACCAACAACCTGCTAAAACCCGAAAAAGCCTTCCGGATTTTCTAAAAATTCTCAGTTTGACAAAAAACTAAGACCTAATTCAAAAATCGACGACGGTCAGTCGATGTAGTTTCTTTTCCTCTTTTAAACAAAAAAAGAATGAACTCTCTACGACAAACCGCTATTAAAAATCTTGGGACGCACTTCAGGTGTAACTCTTATATAGCGAAAACGCTATGTT